AAGAAGCTGCGGTGATGGATGAACATACAGATCCCTTCTCACAGGCCCCTATAAATATGATCAGTATGACCTGGGCGGAGAAGGGAAAAAGAGAAGAAGAAAGAAGACTGGTTGACAAACCCATAAAAGGGGTGGTTAACTTGCCCGAATATCGAAAAGCCGCCATATTCAAAGGAAGGGTGCTGTGCAGTAAGTGCCAATGCGAGTGTGAGCTCGAAATACCACCCACATGAGCCTTCATCGATCATGAACTAATCAGAAGGAATGAAGAGCAAAAGAGAAAAGAGGCACAAGATAAGGCTCGGCGGACTGTAGGAATGGATACCTCACGAAGTGTCTTTCAGTGGCTAGGAGTGATTCCCAACCAAGGGCTTTATCAGAAATATTTCGTAACCATGAAGTTTCTGAGGAGGCAGAAGATAAAGAGGCCAAGAAGCCAAAAGAGAGAAGTGTAGGGCACTCTCAGTACGGCCATATGGGAAGAGAGGTCAGGCGGAATAACAGGATAACAAACCCTGTTACAAAAGATAATCCTGCTCGCCTCGGGCGAAAATGGCATGTGGTCGGGAAGAATGGACAGCCCGTTAAGCAAATAGGAGCCTCCATGGTCAGAAGGGTTCAGAGGAAACATAAAGCCTACATGAATTCCTTGAAAACCCCAGCAGCGTTGGAAGCTTCCAAAAATCAAAAGTTAGAGAAAACATCGTCTGGGGGGAGCAGTTAGCTCCGCTAGAGAAGTAAGAAGGAGGTGGAAAGGGCTAACAGCAAGATTGAATGCGAAGGAAATCATGTGCCACAAAGCCTGCACCCTGGGAAATATAGAATCTTGACGAGAGCTCAAGAAGATATGGTTATGGTGCCAACTCCTGGATGGAAGGCAGAGCAGCCTATTTGCTTTGGAACTATCTCCCTTGAGAAAAAACAACCTTCTTCATCATTAGGGGATCCCTTCGGGGAAGTTCCAAAATAAACACCATGTCCATATGTGAATCAACTCAAGGGGGCACCAGAACCACTGCTTCCACCAGATGTTATGGCATGGTTGGATGAGTTCATGGACCAGATTGGGAGCAAAAAAGAGGAATTGCCAGAGCCTAGCAACTTTCATATAAACACGGTATATGTGCTATCTGCTATGTTTGTTGCCCAACCTGATCAGCCCGCCGCCATGGAAAGGGATTATGTAACAACTGAGCCAATGATGACTCATATTAATATGAAGATAGCGGAAGAATGAGAGTCGGGAAAAGCTGCATCATCTGAAGCATCCAAAGAGGGTTCTTTAAGGATCTACACAGATAAAATGGTGTTCAGCCACCCGACCATTTCACTTGCCAATCATCTGAAACCCATATATGTGACAGCTCATTTGGAGGGGGTACCCTTTAGAAGGATTTTGATTGATGGAGGGGCAGCTGTTAATGTATTACCAGCTAAGCAGATGAAAAAGTTGGGGAGAGGCACAGAGGATCTTATTCCTACAGACCTCACAGTTTCTAGTTTCTCGGGCGCTATCACCAAGACTCTTGGGATATTGCCTTTGGAAGTATATCTGGGGTCTAAACGGATCATGCTGGCGTTCTTTGTGGTGAACTGCACCTCTACCTATAGAGCCTTACTTGGAAGAGATTGGATCCACCAAAGTCTTGTTGTACCCTCCACCCTACATCAACAAGTTGCTGTGTATCATGAGGCAAGCGCAGAAGAGCCAGGTTTTTGGGAGATGGTAGAGGCCGAATCACGGCCATTTCTTCCCACAGCCAATATAGCAGAAGCAAGTTTCTACAATCCCAACGTAGGAATCTTGAAGTGTTTAGGAGCAGATGAGAACGGCCGCCCTACCAAGGTGACGGCCCAAAAGCTTCTAGAACAAGAGATGCTCTTTACTAGAGAGGAGTGGGATAGACCTTTTATTATCCCAACACCCCTACACCATCAATGATAGAACAAAAAAGGAAAGATCAGTTAATGGCAGTCAGATTCCTGATTAAACGACTGTTGGTGTATAGGAAAGAAAGAAGACAAGAAAATGAGCTCTTAGACAGAGAAGAGCAGAGAATGGCTTGTGGGAGCTTCAACCAGCCATGATAAAAGCAGTGAGGAATCTTGTCAAGAGGAATTGGAAAGGGCCATTCAAATGGCTGAGTGTATATATGACCTGGATGAACCAGACAACTTGCCCGAGAGCCCAAAGCTAGTCAAATTTTTGTGTACAGAACTTGATAAGCCACCACCGGAGGTCCAAGATCCTCTGGAAGTTATTGAGCTAGGAACAAAGGAGGACCCAAGACCAATACAAATCAGTGGTTTATTGGAGAGAGAGGATCGGGCACAAATTATCTGTCTCTTGCAAGAATTCAGAGATTGTTTTGCTTGGCATTACACTGAGATACCGGGTTTAGATGCAACTTTGGTGGAACATAGAATGCCCATCAATGAAGGATATAAGCCGGTTAAGCAAGCACCACGAAAGATGTCGAATTAGATAGAAGAAAAGGTCAAAGAAGAGATTGAAAGGCTCGTAAAAGCCGGATTTATCAGGCTAGCCAAATATGTGGAGTGGTTAGCCAACATTGTACTCGTTTTAAAAGCTGTAACAAAAGCAGTATGATGTTGTGTTGATTACAAAAATATTAATGGCGCTACACCTAAAGACGAATATCCTATGCCTATGGCAGATCTTTCCATAGATGCAGTAGCAAAAAACAAAGTCTTATCTTTTATGGATGGAAATGCCGGGTATAATCAGATAAAGATGGCTCCGGAAGATATACATAAAACAACTTTTAGGTGCCCTGGGCATGTGGGGGCATATGAATATCTGGTCATGCCCTTCGGGCTCAAGAATGCTGGTGCAACCTACCAAAGAGTGATGAATGCCATCTTTCATGATCTGATTGGCCATAATATAGAGGTGTATATTGATGATATCGTGGTGAAATCCAAGACGGAAGAATAACATCTGATAGACCTCAGGCAGGCCCTGACAAGAATGAGGGTCCACAAATTAAAGATGAATCCAAAGAAGTGTGCGTTTGGAGTAAGAGCGGGCAATTTCTTGGGAATCCTAGTTCATCAACGAGGGGTAGAAGTGGACAAGAATAAATCTCAAGCAATAATGGAGTTGTCTTCACCCACCAACAAAGTGCAACTTCAAAGGCTGCTGGGCAAAATTAATTTCTTAAAAAGATTTATTGCCAACCTGGCAGGCAAGATCCAGCCGTTGACTCCTTTATTAAGACTGAAGGATAAGGAGAATTTCGAGTGGGGACCACCGCACCAAGAGGCCTTCGATGGTATCAAAGCGTATTTGACTTCTCCACCAGTATTAGTACCACCTCAGAGGGGAAAACCCTTAAAGCTATATATCTCCGCTTCAGATAAATCAATTGGGAGTTTGCTGGCTCAAAATAATGAAGGCGGGAAAGAGCAGGCAGTGTACTACCTCAGTAGAATTCTGACCGAGGTAGAAACAAGGTATTCCCCAGTAGAGAGATTGTGCTTGGCTTTGTATTTTACTGCCAATAAGCTGAGACATTACATGTTACCTTGTCACGTGCACATCATCGCCAAGACAGATGTGATAAAGTACATGTTGTCAAAACCAATGTTAACAGGAAGGATTGGGAAGTGGATTCTAGCATTATCTGAATTCAGCTTCCAGTATGTTCCCCAAATGGCAGTAAAAGGCCAAGCAATTGCTGACTTCTTGACGGAGCATCAAGAATCTCGAGATGAGATAATCAACATACCGGGAACCCTGGAAGTTACTAATGTTTGGATCCCGCCAGGCAAGGGGATCTCGGGCAAAGAAGAGTGGATCCAGCAGGAGATAAGAAGAGTGGTTAGTTTATGGATTACTCATTGGAAGCTGTATTTCGATGGTTCTTATACTCAGAAAGCTTCAGGAGCTGGGATTGTAATTATCAACCCTCAAGGGATTTATCATTATTACTCATTTTTCTTGGATTATCAAGGGAATACCAACAATCGGGCAGAGTATGAGGCCTTAATAATTGGTTTGGAAATCTTGATGGATCTGGGGGCAATGGAAGTTGAGGTGTTTGGTGATTCGGAATTGGTAATAAACCAGCTCAATGGGGAGTTCAAGTGCAGACATATCACCATAGCTAGATACTATTTGGCGGCCACATAATTGTTGAGTTATTGGGATTCTGAGATATCGGTGAGTCATGTTCCCAGGGGAGCCAACCTAGCAGCCAATGAGATGGCGCAATTGGCCTCAGGCATACCAATACAGGAGAGAATGTATGGGATGAATGTCGAGATTCAGAGGAGAAATCTTCCTTCCATTCTGGAAAGGGGATTCAGCCTGGATGTAATGGTTCAAGAAGCTGAGATTGAAGATTGGAGATCGCCCATCATCCATCATTTGAAAGATCCCTCTTCACCCACCAGCAAGAAAAATAGACAGCAAGCAACTAAGTATGTCTTATGGGCGAAAGACCTACTAAGAAAGACTCCAAACGGGTTACTACTGAAATGCTTAGGCCAAGAAGAGTCAATGAGAGTGATGGCCAAAGTACATGAATGAGTATGTGGAGCCCATCAGGCCGGAACAAAGATGAGGTGGTTGCTCAGAAGGTATGGATATTTCTGGCCCGACATGGAAAAGGATTGCAAATCCTATGCCCGAGGCTGTGAAGAGTGTCAAAGACACGAACCTCTCCAGCATGTGCCCTCAATACCTTTAAATCCAGTGGTTAAACCTTGGCCCTTCCGAGGATGAGCGATGGACTTCATCGGGCAGATTTACCCAGCTTCTAGCAAGGGGCACACTTTTATCATTGTAGCAACGGATTACTTTACCAAGTGGGTAGAGGCCTCGGCGGTGAAATCCATAACCTCAGCCACCGTCAAGAATTTCATTGAGACCAAGATTCTGCATAGATTTGGGGTGCCCGAAACTATTGTGACTGATCGAGGGCCATCTTTTATCAAAAGAAGTTGAAGAATTTGCAAGCAAATACAAAATAAAGATGATCCAGTCCAGTCCTTACTACCCACAATCAAATGGCCAAGCAGAATCCAGCAACAAGATTTTGGTAAACATTATCAAAAAAGTGGTGATGGACAATCCGGAGAAATGGCATGAAAAGTTGGGAAACACTTTGTGGGCATACAGGACTTCCAGGCGGGCAGGAACATGCACAACTCCATATGCTTTAACCTTCGGGCAAGATGCAGTACTTCCCATGAAGATCAATGTAAGTTCTGTCAGAATTCAGAATCAGTTCGGGTTACACAGTGAAGAGTACGTTGAAGCCATGTGTCAAGGAATTGAAGACTTAGATGTAGCCCGAATTGAAGCCTTGAATTAGATTCAAGAAGGGAAGAAAGCTGTTGCTCGAGCTTATAACAAAAAGGTGAAGATGAAGTCTTTCAAAGAGGGAGATTTAGTATGGAAGACAGTCCTCCCTCTAGAAGCTCAGCTTAGGGGCTTTGGAAAGTGGAGCCCGACATGGGAATGTCCTTTCACTGTTAGTCAAGTATTGAACAAAGGGGGATACTACTTGGCAGACCTTGAAGGGAAGGGGCTGAAACATCCCATTAATGTTAAATTCTTAAAAAAATATTGTCCGACATTATGGGATGTTAGAGACTGTTACATTAAGGAGGATGCAAGGTAAAGCCGACTTCGGGGTATCAAGGTGCAGTGTATGATCACCAAACCATTCAAAAGAAGACAGAAAAAACAAAAAGTTGCTAAGATAATGTTTATTTCATTTCGACAAATTGGTGATATTTACAAACTAATCCAAGTCCAAAGTACTACATTCGATTCCTTCTACAATGTTATTTTCAGCTGGTTTTCCGATGTCTCCCTGGATATGACCCGATCAGGTGATCGGGTTGTGCGGCCAAAACGCGCCTGGTAGGGGATCCTTAGGCAGAGTTACCACTATGTGTGATGGTGAAGCCTGATTTATCACGACGGCAAGCAGGAAGGCAAGCCTTCGTGAGGAAACCGTCTGACCAAGGGTGTTGGAGATAGCGGGGTGTTTGACCAAAGGTGTTGGAGATAGTAGTTATCTGACGAAAACTCTTTTTTCTCACGAACAGGGAGTTTTAAGAAACCCCACATAAATTCTGAAGAACTCATTTCATAGTTTTTTGGAAGAAAACTAAGGAAGCAGAAACACTTGAAGTAGATAAAAGATAAGATCGATGATGGTTTGTGGGGAGAACCATAATTTATAGGAATAGCAGAAGGTAGTTCAGGGGTCGTGGGAAGATCGAGAGACTCCGGGTGACGTTAATCTCAATCAAAAGATACAAGTTCCGAGAGCAAAGGCGCAGACGCATGCAGCTATTCAATTAATATTGGCGCCTGGAATTCCAGGCTAAATATCAATTGAAGAGGGCACTGTTTGGATCAAAACTTAAACTTTGCGCTCGGGGGAAGTTGGCCCAAAGAACAGCCTAAAAGGGAGAGGAACCCGAAGGCCTAGTCAAAACTCAGCCAAAGTCCAGAAGACAGGAGAAGCCCGTTTCTGACTAGGTGCAGGCCATGCAGACCACTTGCTCACCTACCCAAAGGCCAAGTGGTATAGACCAGCCAGCTAATCAGCCCAAAAAGTACTTCTAAATGGCAGTACAAGTAAATAGCTGATGAGTCACTACCCTTCAAGCTGCATTCGGGCAAGGTTGCTACTACAGGAGGCCAAGCCAAGATGTCTATAAAAGGAGAAAGAGAGGTCAGAGCCAAAGACACTCAAACAAACAAACAAAAGCACAAACTCTACTCAAAAGTCAGATTTGCCTTCAAAACGAAGCTGTAGTCAGCCCAAACCTTCATCCATTTCGGGATAAACCCTTTGTAATAGCTCTGCTACCTTGCTCAACGCCTGCTGTAGTATCGATTTTCTTTCTGCAAACTCATTTCTTAACCCCTTTTCCAAGCCTTCAAACCTTCTGTTAACCCACAAACATAGGAAGTTGCAAGACGATCAGCCTTGCCTGACCTCCTTTGTTTTTGTCTTTTCATTCATTAGCTTAGCAATATGTTGTATACTTCAAATTATATCCAAGTTATTACTAGTAATATGGCTTTTAAAAAACTCTCTCAGCGCTTGAATCCGATTTGAATATGTCTTCACAATTCAAGCCAGATCTAAGTTCTAAGCCTTCGGGCATATAAGATTTGATCACCCTAAAAGTCATTGGCCTCAAGGCATAAAAAAGAACCTGATGTGGACTTAACCCATCCACTACAAGCTTTGGTAACAAGAAGTCCGAAGTTACTTGGGGCGCAAGTAATCGACCTACCACTTGGTTTTATTTCTGTTATATTATGATGACCGTATAACGTTCGAGTACGGGATGAATTCTAATAGGAAGCCTCAAGGCCTACACCTAAGGCTTCACAAAGGCACCTATTTGGATTCATTCTGTTCATCGGGCAAGAACATTGAGTATAGAAGGGGTTATGATGGGAAACCTCAAGGCCTATTCAAGGCCCCACAAAGGCACCTATTTTGATCCATTCTGCTCTTTGAGCTCAGGTAGTCAGAAGTATAATGGTTATAAGAACCATATAACTCACAAAAGGAACCTTATGTGCTTGAGTACTAAGTTAGTTACTTACGGGAAGCCTCAAGGCCTACACCTAAGGCCCTACAAAGGCACCTGTCAATAACTAACATAGTCTCTCGAACACATATAATTAAAACTCAAACATCCGTTCTACATCTACCATGCTGAAGATGGTAGTGGCACGCCTGAGCAATTCAAAGTTAATCTTGATCATGAGCCTCAAGGCCTACACCTAAGGCCTCACAAAGGCACCTTTCAAAGTTAATTATGTCCTTCTTTTTTAGCCTTGCCCGACAGGCCTTGCCCGACAAAGCCCGCCAGTAAAGCAGAAGCCCGACAAAAAAGCATCAACCGGCGCCAACCTCTCGGGGAGCTGTGTGCTCGTCGGCCAGGAAACATTCCCCATGGAAATTCCCGCCACGAACACACATACTAGATGGGCAGCAATTCAACCCGTCAAAGAACCAAAAGGTATGCTATCATTGGAGGGCGAGCAAGTGCAATCAGCACCCTTGCCTTTTTCTCCACAGAGAGCTTCCGGCGCCATCGTCGCAGCAAGGTCTCAATGGGACAGCCTCGACTAAGCGCCATCACTCCTTCACTGCTAACACTAACGGTCCATCATCCCGGAATTAGGGTCTAAATAACTTTAATGGCGGGGCTTCTTCGACGTGGGGCGTCGGAAAAGAAATTGTTGTTCGGATCTGCATGCTCCAGGCTCGAGATGATGAATTTGACCTGGGTTTTCACAAGCTGTCTCTCTATGACAATGAATGGAGCTCTCTGAATTCGACCTTGGTAATCAACAGTCATTCCTTCATCCCGTATATCTTCAGCTTACATCAAGTGCCAAAATCGACTCGCTGAGGGACCTCGTCCTCTCAAACAATCGGATTCGATGATTTGATACGATGAGGGAAGCGAGAAAGAGAAAGAAGGTATAATTGGGTTTAAGAAAGTTTCATTAAATTTTACTGTTCATCCGCCTTCTTTGAAAAAAAAGCTGGTTTTGAGACGCAGCAAAATGCTGCTTTCATTTTTTTGCTTATTTTGACTGAAACTTTAAAAAGAAACACTTATTTTTACATTTATCGAACACATTTTACACCACAACTTTTTTCATAGCTGCTTTTTTTATAATTTCAGCTGTGCCAAACTGGTACTTACTAGCTTTGCCTGCTTGGTTGTGCATAGCTACTAAAGCAATGCTATTTTGCTATTCTACAGCTTGAAAATATGTAAACATGCTTGAGAAGGTAGAAACATTAGGGCTTCAAGAAATTGTTCATGTTGACGAGTTATTACGTACTCGTAACCTCAAAGATGTGGTATCAACTGTAAAAAATCAAACATTGTCTCAAACAATTATAGAAAAATATTTTAGTTCATCTTAAACTTTTATTTGTGGCATTGCATATTTTTATACTTATTGAAAATTATTATGATATGGAGGCGAGTTTCCTTAATACAAGACTTATAAAAATTATAACATATTACAATCCAGAGTTTATTAATATACATAATTGGCCCCAAGTTGAGACTAAATTTTTTTTTTAGTATAAGAAGGTTATTTCTATATAGAGGATTATTATAAGGAAACCTTTAAGGGATGGGATCTTCATTTTTTTTATAAAAATTGGGATTAGTTGTGGGTTCCACATCACATCGAACTTTAACGATCCGTACTGTCTATTTTTCAAATTGCACCTCATAGATCATTTTTACAAAATATTAGCCAAATCGAAAATGTTTAAGACATCTAATTGGGTTCAAAGAAATTAACAAATACTTTGTTATATAAAGAACAATGAAATTTTATCTTGCTAATTAAATAGGCAAATAGTTTCGAATTCAATTGAATTTTTGCAAGAATGATCTATAAATCAAGACTTACAAAATAGACGTTCGGATCGTTAAAGTTCGATGTGAAGTGGGCCCCACACCTAATCCCTATTTTTTTTTTAAATGAAAATCCCTTTACATAAATAGTTTGATTATTATAAAAAGGTTTTACTATATATTTTTAATTAAGTTGTCCTGATTCAATTTTTTTTTGTTTTTCTCTTCTATTAACATTACTAATACTTTAAAGGTATTTTGACCAATTCTTGTCGAGTTTTTGTTACTATTTTTTTTTTCATCGCAATTTTGAACTGAGATTTGGAGTTTGGCATGCAAGTAAAAGCGTGTGCAAGGCCTTTGATGTTTGAACGTTGACTATTTTAATTGAAGTTTTAGTCGTAGCTATAGTATTAGTATCGGTGTGTGCTAACCTTTCACACGACATGAATAGTTTATCACACACACACACACACAATTGAACCATATTGTGATGACTCAAGTCTTATTTGACCTCAAATGTGTCCAACCGTGTTTGTTTGATTAACTAAAACATCTCAAAACTAATTGAGTCCTCTCTAATTCACTAGCCAGACCTAAGTATTGTTTTTTCTCTAAGTTTTATAGGACAAAATTGAATAAGAATAAGTCTTAATGTCTAGAAATGACTGTCTTTTTTATAAAAAAAAAAATGATCGCCTATAAAATTTGAACTTGTATCTTCACCAAAAAAATGAAAAATCAGGTTCCGTTAATCCAAAACGATAATGAGCAAACAAAGTGTATTAAAATATTATTGGAGGAAAATTAAGAGAAGGTGTTGTAATCAGTACCACATGCAAGAAAATTTTGGTAGAAATTAGTTAATTCGGCCTCAAAAGAAACGTTGAAATAGGAATTGAGGAATCATTGCTGACAACTTTTTATCATGCATTAGTTTCAAAATCTTCAATAGTTTGAATCACCGTCCAGAGAAAGAGAGAGAGAGATATTAAGATGTTTTATATTGCATTTTGTGTAGCAGATACAACATCACCAATCTGTTACAATTACATGGGTTACAATTTTCATTAGTTTTCCTTCTTTGAAGTTATAATAGTCTCATGGGTTACAAATACAACCAAAACTTTTTAGCCAATTGACCAACAAAAATAATGAAAAAAAAAAGGGTTATTATACATGACTTGTACTGCAGGGATACTAACCGCAGGGATACTAAACTAGCTAAACAATATACACATTTTGAACTTTTTAACATCTGTTGCTCCCGTTTCTGAATCTCAATAGCACCGGCCGGAACGTTAATTCTCGGTATTAATAGAGTGAAGAATGCATGGCTAGGAAGGCTTCATGCAGAGTGGTAAGCTACATTCATCTCATTCAGGTGCAAATACCCGAGCTGCGGCCGGGGATGTGGGTGTAGGGAATAGGGCCGGTTTTGGTGGTGGGTGGGTGGATGGGTGGGGGGGGGGGGGGGGGGGTTGGGGCGCGACCCCTCTGGAGGCACTGAAACACAAGTCAACGCCATGGTTCTTAGCCCATTGCTCTGCCTTCAATTGCCTCTTTTCTCCAACTTGCAGACAAGAAAACAGAACAACAACAACAAAAAGAGTTGAGAATAAAGTCCTCCTGTAACAGAACCTCATCTTTGATACTCAAATGGAACTTTAGGGTTCGAGGGACGGAGCTAGAAATTTCTTCTAGTGGGGGCAACCCGAAAATCAACTAAGGAAACCTTATTATAGTATGGCTTATACCCAATATGATAAGTGATAAGAAAAATATTAATACATGATTACGTAAGAGAGAGGTTTTTCAATCTGAATGACAGAACAAGAGCACTTTTACTCATATAATATTTGATATGGAGTATATGCAGTATGAAGGTATGTTAGATATTAGTTACATATATTTTCTTCAAAGATAACGCGTGTATATTATATAATTGTAGTCTGCAACTTAATAAACGAATCACTTGAGTAGGAGCATATGCCTCCGGTGAGCCTTCATTGGCTCCTTCCACATGTGGTAACGTTTTACAGACCCAGTTTCGGGAAAATTGCTTTGGAAAGTGAAAATGAGTTTTCACAGTAGTTTGTAATAAGGAAATGGAATCTGAGATGAAGTGTGGTGGAGGTGAGACCTGTTATCTACGACTCTATAAATTTCAAATTGCTCATGCCCTTGACTAGTACATAAGCTATAATGTTAATTCGGAGCTTGAAATTGACTTGGGCCAATGGAACAAGGTTCAACCATGGCATGGCGGTCCATATGGAATGAATCAATACACACTAACTTGAACGCCAAACAATGACACATTGTAGTTTGGGTGCAAAGCAATAGTTCAAATTTTAATAGTCGCCTATGAGAAAGACATGATGAGCTTAGGTGGGGGAATACACCTTACAAGAACACGATGATTGTTATACTTAGACAGGGATGTATCATATAGCCGCCGTGACATATGCAAGAATCCGCCTTGAATTACAAGGCATATAGAAGAAGAATTAAAAAGTAGACTTTTTGGTGGTTGATGCAAGCCCTGAGGAAAGCATAACGCAGAGAGTCAAATTCAAACAATATTTTTAACACAGTAGGGGAATAGAAGTCACTCCTCAGCTGGTTTTAACACGACTGAACAAATTTCCTTTTTCTTGATTTTGATTGAGTCGTTTACGAGTCTTGACTGGCAGAGAAGCCATGACCAAAGGTTCCCAGCATCCCCAAAAAAAGGGGTACATATTTATCAGTCAAACTCAATACCCTTTAAATTATGGAGTTGGAATAGCAAATCGTATGACGAGAAAAAATTGGGTGTAACCAGGATATATCCACATCACCGTGTAGCACTCATCACGTGGCCAAGTCACGTGTAGGAATCTCCCCTTACTTGAGGGCTGGCTCTGGCCACTTCATCTAAACATGCATGCATAAACTGTAAAACAGTAACTCAGAAGCCTTCCAAGGAAAGCGACATAGAGAGATAAATTCATAGCATCCATTTTGGTTCTTCCGAACATGTTCAAAATTACAAAGAGCTCTTTTTCATACATAAACTAAACAACTCGTACAATAATATCAATCTGAAGTTATATAACAAATCATCACGAGGTGAAGACACTCATCAGTTACTAGACAACAATAAAAACTCACGTTTATCAGGCAAATACATAAAGATACAGGTAATAACTTACGAAACAACTTTACAGTCAGATCATTTTGAAAGAGAGGCCACCAGCTTCTCCTTTAATTGTTCGGCATCACCGCTTTGAGTTTGAATGGAGAATGTATGAATAACCTTATCATTGTCTGTTATGGAAACGTTAGACTCTTGAGCTACAATTTTATGTTCCCCAAGTGTTCTGAAGACTTCAGAAACCGGGTGAGAATCCAATGGGCAGTTCATCCTCACAACTGCATCCTCGAGGCGTTCCTGAAAATCAATCTCTGGAACCGGCAACTGCTTTCCCTTGTTGTTTACCATCTGCTTTTCAGTTTCCATGAGTCTGATCTTCATCTGGAGATCGGTGATATAGGTAATGGCATCACCAAGAAGAGAGGCTTTATCCATCTTCGATATGTTAGGAACAACAGCTCTTAGTGCATAGAACCTCTGGTTAAGCTTCTCGCGCCTCTGCCGTTCTGCTTCCACATGATTCAATGGTTCTTCTCTCCCATTGGCAGGCTTTCTCCCTCTCTTTCTGGGTTTCCGCTCATCAATTTGTGCAGAGGACTCATCCTTGAGCAGCTCTGAACTTGAGACTCTTGTCTGAACATTGAAACCGTCAACCATCATTTGGTTCATTTGCGGAAACAGTTTTACTTCACCATCCTCACTTCGACATCCATTTGAAGTGCCTACTGATTGTAATTCAAACGATTCTGGAGGAAATGCAAAATCTTCTTCTATTTTTGGAGTAAAGGAAATGTTCACTGATTGTGATTTTGGACCCCCGAGACTTAGTTCACGTCCAAATATCATTGGAAATGCCTTTGCCTGAATAGGAATAGATTCCCCAAATGCACTTCTGACCGTATCCACATAACTTTGTTCTTCCGGAGTTGATTTGACCGAACCGAGTTCCACAACTCCTGATTTCATTGGTACAAACACCACTGTCTGAAACCCAGCCAATCTTGCTAAAAATGACCTCGACTGGTAATGATGTAAACAACTACCGGCATCCGAAACCCATATCAATTTTCCAGACTTGTACGACTCTCCTGGACCACAGTGTGAGATCGAATCAAGTTGAAATGCATAAAACATTGAACTGAGATGAAACATCTCCATATCTGACACCCCATCCAACCTCCTTGCATAATTATCCCCATTCAAACCGCCAAAACACGCGTGGAGCTTCTCAAGCACCCACTTCTTCACCTCTTTTTTTTTCTGCATTGCCTCCGAACTACTATCCCGATTAGAATTCACGTCCCCAGCTCCACCGCCCTTGGTGTCTCTGCAATGCCCATCACCCCAAATCAAGGCAGGTCCACCAGATTTCGAGCTAACAGCCTGCCAGAAAATGGCATAATTCCAATTCGACCCATTGACAAGCTGGCACAGCCCCTGCTGCACGCCCAATTGACCCGGTGGCCTAATCAATTCTGACAAAGCATTTTCGGAAGCCAGTGAGATCAAGAACTGGCACGCTTCGGTACCCAGTACTGACTCCATCACGACCTTGTCTTCGTCATTCACCCAAAATTTCTCACCCATCTTAACCTCTCTTCTCCTTCCACAACTAGCTCAAACAACACAAAAATGCTAAAACTACAGAAATTCACAACACAGCTCTCAAATTTCTTGTTCCCACTACAGAAATTCGCAATCTTTTCGCAAAAATTCACGACCGGATCAAGCTACTGCTCGAATCACAACTAAAGTTCTGAACTTTTAACACATCTCAGGGAATCAATTCTACACAAATATAACATCTTTGATAAGATATCTCGAACAAAAATTACCAACTTCAAATGAACTAAAAAAACAACCTTAAATTACACAAACAGAACTAAAACTCGAAAAAGTCGAGAAATTTAGACTCACACAATTAGCAGATCCTAAGAAAACTTCAAATATTATATACAATGACCCTCACTTTACTGCTAAATTAAAGCTGATGAATTTTTGGAAGCACAAAATTGGCTCAGAAAACCTCCAAAATCCAGGCAGAGAATAATAGCAGAGATCCGATTACCTGAAAACTGATATGGGTTTGTAGCAGATACTTGGATTCCAACTCAGTCCAAGTGTGCAGGCAAGTTAAACAAACATGAGAAAAGTGGGGGTTGCCAAACTTCCAAGATCTGAATTTTAGGGATTTTTTTTAATTATTTTATTTAAATTAAAAGTATCAGACTAAATTGTAGCTATGGTCATTTAATTTTAACTCAATTGGAATAATGATCCTTCAACTAAAAATTCATTACCATTGCTCTTTCAACTTTTATTCAACTAGATAAATGAGCCCTTAACTTTAATCCAATTGTAGCAATGGTCCTTCCAACATAACTTGTTTTGACAAAAACTTTGACGTAGTTGACGAAAATGACCATAATTACACACTTTGAGGTGAGGTACCCTAATTATATAAATGTTTATTCCAACATAATTTATTTTGCCAAAATTTTGACGAAATTGATAAAAATGATTGTAGCTACACATTCTGATAAGTTAAGGGATCAATGATTATGAATTTTAAGTTGATTGATCATTTCTTCAATTTAATTAGAGTTAATCGATCATTGCTACAATTTACTAAGGGGTGTGATATCCACACACCATTTTTTACTTCTCCCACACCTTTTTAGTTTTCGGCCGTCGGATCGGATTAATTGAAGAAGATCAACGAACATAAATTAATACGGGGTGTCTGAGAAGTAAAAAATGGTGTGTGAATAGCACATCCCTTTACTAAAATATCGCATTTCCTCCGGATCTGATTCTTTCTTTGGACCCTCACCGACCAAAATTGTGGTAGCATGCGTGTCCCTCTCTGTTCCTTTGTTTTTTGGTGAAACGTTTATGGAATCTTTCATGGGAATGGCACAGAAGGCCCAAATAGCCACCAGCCCAACAAGTAAACAAAGATAATCAAGGGATAGGAAAAAAAATGCAAAATGAAAATGAGATATGAAATTCACTATCCATTAGAAATAAAATGCTAATTAAAAAAAAAAGACACGTAAACATGTCCCTCCAAGGCGAAAAACTTAAATTTGACGGTCACACGATCACGTAATATTTCATATTTATGTATTAGAACTTTAAAACATGCATATTGGGTGATAGGCAAGGTTGATGCTACACGAGCCTATAGTATGATATGCAGAAATAGATTTATGTACTATAACATTGGTGGACATATAACACGGAAAGGGATCATCTCCAGATCCCTTCCACTTAATTCTTCTTATCAAACAATATGGGTCCTTGAAATTTGTTCCAAGGGTTAAAAATAAGGGTCCATTTTAAAAGTTATAATAACTTTAACCGTTGGATCAAATTTCAAGAATCCGGATTGTTTGATGAGGATGATTAGGTAGAATGGATCAGGAGAGGATCCCTTTCCATATAAGACAATGTGTTAGTGTTATTGTCACATCAAAAAATTTCTTCAACATGGCATGCAATTAAATTTGAAACGTTTACAGTGTTATATTTTAGGTAGTGGTCGCTCTCTCACTTTATCTAGGAGAGCCTTGTGGTAATTGTGGTCACCTTCTCTTTCTGAGGAGGAGAGCTTACGGCACTGTAGCGGTTATGATTTATTACTCAACCCCGAATCTTAAAGGAACAATTGTTGTTCAAAATTTTGAGGTGGTGACTTTGTTGTTTGTGTGCTTGGCATGAATTATGCGGAGGAAACTCGACGATTGTTGTAGTTCACTTGTAGTAAGGTTTTTACCGACGATTACAAGATCATCAAAGGGTGATGTAGTCTTGCCTGTGTGTGGTCATTTTAGTGGTTCAAGGGATTCACAATCATGTTTTCTTGTCGTTGCAAAGTCTTTAGGTGATGGTATGATGTTTAACTTATGTGTCTTGACGGTGTTATTACGTTCGGCTCCTAGGGCGTTATCTTTCTTGTTCACTAGGCGCGGGTCTCCCATGATTGAGGAATCGTACTTTTGACGAGTTTATTTTATGTTTTGACATTATTGTTTGTTTGTTTTGGTTGTGGTTTTGTTGTTTGTACACCTAACAAAGGACTATGACGACATCTTCATGATGTCTCATAGCAAGGCATCTTTGCTGAAGAAGGGTCGTCTTTTGTAAGTTCATAAGAAAATGATGCAAGGTTTTGTCCACATGAACATTTCTTTCTATTTAGTTAGATGTGGTTATGTAGGGTAAGTTTTGTGTTGTTTGTAAGATTATTATCAAGTATAACATATTGACAACGGAATAATGCAAACACATAACCAAGATAACCACTAACTTGTTGGAGACATGTCGAAGGGTACAAAGGATCTTCTACGACTCTTCTTCCGTTGGAGACTTGTTAGAAAAGAGTGCATGGACCCCAAGTATTTATTATAATATCAACAGCAGTAATTAATAAGGACACTACCCACTGTGTGACTTCTTATTAATCTAACCTTATCACTGTTATCACTTATCATTCATATTCTATATAATAGTTGTAATCATATCATGATTGTTTAAGGTATAAACCTTAATACATATGTCATGATTGTTTAAGGTATAAACCTTAATACATATTCCTTATCAGCTTACAAACATAGTTATTGTTAATCTCTAATAGTCTCATGTGTCTAACAAGATCCATCCAAGTGTTTAGCTCTCTTTAGAACTTACATTCTCCCACTAGAGCTTACGCTTGGAATGGTTCTGAATATCTAGAATGAAACTATTCTTAATTGTCCATGAGATTAGCATAACATAGTCACGGTTTCAAGTCTAGGTCATTAACCAGCATCTACAAAGAACTAAAGGGTAGCATACTTATCACTCTAAACAATATCCCCATAGTCACTCATGTAGGGCTGAGCAACACATTAAACTCTAACAAGAAATGAGTTGTTGCACCAGGTGTATCTGTAAATGTACCATTTCCTTCACACCTGATACATGGTCCTCCTCTAAGTTAAATAACAATTCATCCTGATTTGGTTGTTTATCTTAAGAACAATTATACAAAGTTGTCAATCCATCAAGTATTTCAAATACTCACTTTCTTTCATAACTAAAATGTGCACTTAAAAGAATGAATCTCAAACAACCTCACAGCTTTGAACTTTATTAGTTAAGAGTTCCTCAACAATACTTTAAATATATAACTGAGCTTAATAATAATGACTAATGACTAAAAACGAAAGAAAACTTTAAATCGATACTCGGCTCCCACTATTCAACAACATCAAAACCTGAAAGCATGCCCATATTTGCTATATGTTTCTTGAAAACTATAACTGGAACTGCTTTATTCAGTGGATCAGCAATCATAGACCCAGTCTCCAAATAATCGATCTTAACCAGTCCTGCCATAACCTTTTCTCTAGCAATGAGGTACTTGATATCTAAGTTTCTTGATGTCGATGACCTCTTGTTATTTTTGGTAAAAAATATAGCAGCATTATTATCACAGAAAAGCTGAATTGGTCTTGCAATTGAATCTACCACTCTCAGTCCTGTGATGAAGTTCTTTAACCAAATGGCTTGGTCTACTGCTTCACAGCAAGAAAGATATTCAACCACTATTGTTGAAGCTGCAATTGTGGCTGTTTCACACTCTTCCAAGACATAGCTCCACCAGCCATGGTAAAAACAAAACCTGAAGTTGACTTGAGATCATCTGGGCATCCAGCAAAATCTGAATCATTATACCCTTCCAAAACAAGATTATTTGTCCTCCTATAGATTAACATATGCTATTTGGTTCTCTGAAGGTATCTCAATACTCGTTTGGCTGCACTCCAGTAAGCTTCACCTGCATTGGCCTGAAATCTCCCAAGTACACTGATTGTGAAAGCAAGGTCATGCCTTGTACAAACTTGATCATACATAAGGCTGCTAACTAGAGAAGCATACGGTTTCTCTTCCATGATTGTCCTCTCTAAATCATTCTTGGGACACTGCTTTGCTTAACTTGTCACCCTTTGAGATAGGCATCTCAGTAATGCCACATGAAAATATATTGAATCTTTTAAGTACCTTTTCTATGTACCCCTTTTATGACAGCCCCAACAAATCTCTTTGTCTGTCTCTTTTGATTTCAATGCCAAGAACATATGAGGCCTCCCTAAGATCTTTCATTTCAAAGTTTTGTTGCAAGAGAGTTTTGGTTTCGTCCAACAAACTTGTGTTATTTGTAGCGAGGAGAATATCATCTACATAGAGAACCAACAAGATAAAGCTGCTCCCACTGATTTTCAGGTAGATACAAGTCTCTGAAGGATTTTTAGTGAATCCATGTTCTTTCATTACTTTCTGAAATTTTAGGTACAATTGCCTTAATGCTTGCTTGAAAACATATATTGATTTCTTCAACCTGCAGAGTAATTTCTCATTTCCTTCCACTTCAAAACCTTATGGTTGCTTCATACATATGTCTTCCTCCAAATCACCATTCAAGAACCCAATTTTAATGTTCCATTTGGTGCAAAGCTAAATCAAAATGAGCTACTATTGCCATTACAACCCTAAATGCATCTTTGGTTGACACAGGGCTAAAAGTTTCCTTGTAATCAACCTTTTCTCTTTGAGTAAACCCTTTTGCTACGAGTCTACCTTTGTGTCTTTCTATATTTCCATTCGAGTCTCTCTTAGTCTTGAATACCCACTTGTAACCAATTGGTTTGATTGCATCCGTTTGTTCAACCAACTCCCACACTCCATTGTCTTTCATAGAGGTTAACTCATTGTGCATAGCCTCCAACCACTTTTCAGAATTTGAACTAGTGACAACTTCCTTGAAAGTTTTGGGATCATCAAACTTTGACAAGTCTATATCGTTCTCTGAAGCTTCAGTCATATGACTTATATACATAAAATCAGCTAAGGTAGTGGATCTTTTTACCCTAGTTGACTTTCTCAGGATGATAGGGGAATTAATAATGGCAACATTATCTTCTATTGTCTGTGCAGGCTCCATCATAATATCTTCTTGCATAATGTTTTCGTTTGTTGTGCCAGGGACATATGTAATCTCTTCAACATTATTTTACCCTTGTTGCAGGTTAACATCAGTTTCTTCGATCTCTTCAATAAGGCTTCCATTTAGTAAAGTGATTGGTATTGGTGTGTGGCCTTCAACTGAAGTGGAAGTGAGTTGCGATTCAATCATCATCTCAAATTCTTCATGAAATATAA